CTGTAAATTTGTATTTATGTTTCTGGTGTGCCAGTTAAACGGATGGTAAAGCAGCTGCTTGGAGGCTCTATGGGGTGTTTTAAACAGCGACTTTCTTCATTCACCTCTGCCTTCCCCCACCATATTTCACTAGCACTGTAAGTTCATAATATGTAGAAAAGGTTCTGTATCACTAGAAGTACAATTTAAATTCTTGATTGTTTTTTCAAGCATTACAAAGCATCTATTTCTGCCATTTACAAAAAGCATTCGTATAGGTAGCCTGTGCCTCTATTAATCAGTGCTTATCAGACTTTTTTTTCCGATTTTCTTAGTGGCTGAAACTTACTTCTGATGATGTAAAGGAACAGATCTACAAGCTGGCTAAAAAAGGCCTGACTCCCTCGCAAATTGGTAAGGTTTACGAGTCACTCCTAAAGGGCAACAAAACACATTTTTCTGACCATAATAATGTAGTTGTTCCTTCAGCCGATACTAAATACCATGCTAAGAAAATACAGGTTTTCTGATGTACCTATGTTTTCACTGGGTGGATAGCATAAAAATGTAACATGTCTCATTCTTGGAAGAAGCGTATTTGGGGAAGTAGTTGAGTGGGTTTTTTCCCGAGCAGAAAGTGTGAAGCATCTGTTTAGTCTTACAACCTGTCCTTAGGAATGGCCACTAACAGATACTATAGAGAAGTTTAGTTTGCCCAGTTTCTTGGAGAAGAACTTGAGTTCTCATCTCAAATATCAGCAGCCCTGTTTGGGAGCTTACTGAACCAGGCACTGTAGCTGCGTAACAGACTGGTTCTCAGAAGGTTGGACCTCTCTAGAGCTCTGCTCAAGTCTGTGCCTGCTACAACTTCATATGGTCATGAGCTCTGCAGTGTAGTTAGGTGCTATGTGAATTAATTTATATATTTTTTGTTGTGATCCTGAGAGTATTAATGATCCCTCAGTACATTTTTTTTAGAGTAAAGGTGTCTAACATCTTTGTTAGCCATAGAGAAAAGGGTGATTGAATACCTAGCTTTAATAAGTCCTGTTGAAAATTTCCCAATAATATTGTAGCACTTAATGTGTTACCTGTCTAAATGTGATGGGTGGGTTAGGTGTCAGTTAAGTGCTATTGGATAAAGTGTTTCGGCCTCTGTAAGTTGTATTTTGCTCACTCACTGTCTACCATTTGTTCACAGTTTCCACTAGAAAGGTTTTTAATGTATAGAAGGCCTTCTTTGGATACCTTGTAACTGTAAGGGTTATTTCACAAGATTTCTTTGGGTAAGGTTTTTCTTTTCAGTGTGAGATGTAAATGTTTGTTTCAGGTGTGATCCTGAGGGATTCCCATGGTGTTGCCCAGGTTCGCTTCGTTACCGGCAACAAAATCTTGAGAATCCTTAAATCGAAGGGACTGGCCCCAGACCTTCCAGAGGATCTTTATCACTTGATCAAGAAAGCTGTTGCTGTTCGCAAGCATCTTGAGAGAAACAGGAAGGTGAGTGCTAATTTTAAGTTGATAACTCTCTATGTTTGTTTTTCAAATAATACAGTAGTTTGTTTACAACTTGACAAAGCAAAGACTCTTAGCATAATTCCTGTTAGCCACCCCCTTTGCGTAAACTTAGGGGTTGGGAGAGGCATTTTGATAAAGGGTAGTGGTCTTTGTCCGTGAAAAGGATCTTAAAGGCATTGCTTAAACATTGTATGTCTGGTCCTGTTCTGATTTTACCACTTTTATCAGACTTTGCTAATGGGAATGTGGAGTTTGCAGCAGTAGTTGTGGACTTTTTACTTTATTAAAGCTTATCTGAACAGTCTGTCATTGAGAAGTTGAAGTAGTGCTTGGTTGTAACGTAACTTTCTTTTTAAGGATAAAGATGCCAAGTTCCGCCTGATTCTGATTGAAAGCAGAATCCATAGGTTGGCTCGCTACTACAAAACTAAGAGAGTGCTGCCACCCAATTGGAAGTAGTAAGTCTTCTCTTATGTTACTATTTTCACTGAAGTCTTGTGGGTTTTATAAAGAAAATGCTGGGGCTATTCAAAGGGTGAAGAGTGCATTATGATCAGGCATATCAGTAAATCAGGCAGCAAAAAATAGGTATTTTCATAAATATTAACTAATAATGAAATTTTCATAAATATTAACCGATAATGAAGCTTACTGCTGAGTAAAATGACTGTCACAACACTTCGAAAAAAACCCATTGCCTCGGTGAATGATGTCGCTATCTACTAGGTAATTTTTATAATATTTTATACAAACTACAGTCTTTGTTCTCACTCAGCTACTTTTATAGTTTATGTTACTTTCAGAATTTATTGAGAAATGGCTTAGAAGCTGTGGCAAAAATTAAAGCAATTTGTGCTTTTTCTCTGGGAAAATTTAGCCAACATTGGAGAATTCCCATAGACGTCAGGTTTAGTGTCTCTTTTTCTGAAAAGACTGAAGTGCAGGTAGCCAGGTTTTTGAATAGATGGGTTTGTGCTGTTATCCTAGTATTTGTATTTTAAAAGGACAAGTGAAATCTTTATGCCATAAAAAATTTCAAACGGGTAGCAATTAATCTCAAGATTGGTAGGTAGAGCTTTAAACTGAAGCAGTATTTTTGACAGCTGTTTTGAAAAACTGCTCGTGTGATTAATATTTCTCTCTTTTTCTTTCTCTCTCTCTTCTCTCTTTTTAGTGAATCATCAACAGCTTCTGCCCTGGTTGCATAAGAGCTGGCTGTGACTTACTGAAAGAATAAATTTTCATTAACTAAGTTTGTGTTGTCTCCAGATGGTTGGTGTCATAGAAACTTCTGCTTGTTCAGGAAGCTGCCTGTAAATGAGAGGTTTTCAGGGTGGAGTGGATGTGTGGCCGTGCATTCCGTATTGCTGTCCTGCTGTTTCAGATCTGAGTAGTGGTTGTTGCTGTTCCAGACCAGGGGTATGGTTTGTTAGTAAAGTGATCTAGTCATTTACAGCAATGTATTTTATTCACGTGGGGCAGTGTCTCTGTCCAGCAGGAAGAGCTGGGGAAGAAAACAGTGACAGGAGGAAGAATTGGAAATTTAGAAAATGCAGAAATTACTGGGCAGAAGGAGGGGGGGGGAAAGGGATGTGAAATTGGAGAAGCTGATTAATTCACTGCAGGTAATGTAGATCTGTTCCTTGTGCAGAAAACTTAAATAGACCTCAACCAGTTCTGACAGTAACTGTTGCTGTCATTTGTAAGTGATTTTAAGAATAATCTTTAAGATTTGGGCAAATACAGACAGCAGTTTACCTCTCCTCAGATGTTATGTCTTTACTGAGGTCATTTTCCCCAAATCCAAAGGGTAGTAGCTATTGTATAGTCTGTGTTGCTGAGGTTGTGCCTCCAGGTTCTAAATAGCTTTGACCTTAAGAGTCATCTTTCTGCTGGAGAAATCTGGAGAAGAGACTACCAACTTCTTCCTTTTTTAAGAGAAAATTATAAATTGAATTGTTCTGAGCTGTTTTGAGTGTTGCTTCTGAGTCTTGGTGCGTTACTTAAAATTTCTGCCATATGAAAAAGTTAAGTCAATCTAAATAAGCCCTAACAATTTTTTAGAGTGTAGTAGCTACTTTCTAGATCATAACCAATGGAACCTAGTAACTTCTGGATTTAATTTTGCAGAAGGACAGAATTCCTCTGCCCTGGTTATGAAGCTAAATATAGACTTGTGATTAAAAGTTTTAAAGAAAAGCACTCTGGAGTGCTATTTAAAGTCCATCTTAAAAATTAAAATACCAGCCTATATGCTGTCAAAATAATTGCTTTTGTTTCTGTAAGCATCTGGTGATTACTTGTCAGGCTCTCACAATGGTAATTAAGTGTTCTGGGACGTAGAGGCAATAAATCCCTTTCATGATGTTAAAAAAAAAAAAAAAATGCAGTGAATCTTTGGGGTTGGAGGTATTGCCAGCTGAAAAGCACATGGGCACTTTCACTACTTACTGTTCTGAAATAGCTGTTTGTAAATAATTAAAGTACCAGCAGATGGCACTTTGAAACATTAGTGTTTTTTAAAAGTTTTATATTGCAAATAGTGCCACCTAGGGATCAAGTGTCAAGGCTGCAGGTCCAAACCAGTGAACAGTCGATGCATTTAGAATTGCAGTACTAACTGTCCGGTCATCTCCCCCACGTTAGCCAAGCACCAGGCCTGCCCCGGGCAGCTCGGGACTTGGGATCCAGCTGCCCAGGTACGACCCGGCTCGTGACTGCCCAGGAGAGTTAGTGGAGTCTTTCCTGCTGCTCTGGGTAGAGGGACCGTGGCTGCCCTTGGCTGGAGAGACGCGATTATGGGAATACATCCAGATCTGCAAACAGTTGCCCCAAATTAATTCCTTTCATGAACCAACATAAGCTGTCTCTGCCCCATGGTTGTCTCCAGGCATCACCCTGTCTTCCCTCTCCACAGAAGCCTGGCTTGTTCTGCAGGCTTTGGGCCCCACTGACCTCCTGCTTTCTCCTGTCAGTGTCTTGTCTCTTGATTTCTTTTGCCTTGAGTTAACCTTCAGAAGCTGCATTCCTGCTACTGCCTTATTTCCAGCAGCCTTCACTGAATGTCCAGTGTTGCCTTTTCCTCCTGCAGTAATTCTCTTCCAGCAGGCACAAATCTAAGCGATGATTATTTTTTTTTCCCCTAGCCCAGTGTGAGCTTTTTCCTGCATTGTGCCAGAACACGTACAGAAAGGAGCTCACAGCCTCCCCCACTTGCAGCCCTCTTGGCCCCCCTGGCGCAGTGAAGCCTGTCCTTCCCTCTCCCGAGAGGTGCAGCTGCAGGGCCCCTGCCTCCGCAGCGACCCGTGGTGTGGTGCACGGAGCCCCCTCGGCAGCCGCGTGGCCACGCTGCGCCTTGCTGCTGCGTGCCGGGCTGGCTCACGTGGAGAGTTCGGTTCACAAAAGCCTCCCACTGCACTTCAGTCCTTGCCAGCTCTGCAGCTGTGCCAGGGCTGTGGGGTGCGGGGCAGAGGCTGCTTCCCTTTGGCTCGTGAACAACCGGTTTTGAAGGCTGGCTGCTGAGGCACCCGTTCCTCCTGCAGAGCCCCTGGTAGCCGTGGTGGTCTGCCATTTCCCGGGAAGGTTTGTCATATGGTTCTAGGAAGAACGATGATGATTCTTGCAGTCAGTGCTGGGTCACTGGGGGTGGTAAGGAGAGAACTGGTTTGAAGCATCAAGTTCTCCATTGTATGTGGCACAGGGAGATAGGACAAGGGCGTTCTTTGGGTTATAGACTGGGTTTTTCCACGTAGATTCCTAGTACTTTCTAATCCATCTTTTTCCTTGGGAGCGTGAAGGTCTTCCCTCTCTTGGCCTGTACCTTCTCCTTCCCTGCTCCCCGCCTCAAGTTTCTGTGCTTTACATGTTTGCCTTGCCCTGACACTTCTGGCTGTGTGTCTGAGCTTCTGCTAAAGAAATTTCTCTCCATTTTTTTTTTTTTTTTTTTTTTTTTTTTTTTGCAAAGCAGTCAAACCAATTTTCTTCCATTCCTTTAGGTGACATGAGTTTAGCTTACCCTGATTTGAGTCAGCTAGGGCAGCGTTCAAAAGTATGAACACAACTTCATGTTCTCTTCACTTCTGCAGTTCATCCTGGAATGGGAAGTCCAGAAAGGTGAGTCTTTATTCCTGTGGTTAAATCAATAGGGGATTGATGCTATGCACAGTTTATACCTTTATTCTCAGGAAAGAGTTTGAAAAGTGACTGCTAAGTATGGGAGAGATTAATCCCCAATAGGGATTTAAGAGAAAGCATTGGTTCAGTCACGTCCAGAGGACACTTTGAGTGCTAGGTAACTTCATCCTGAAGGATTTTGTGGTGTGTGGCTGGATTCCTTGCAGAGGCAAATAAACCATTTTCTGCTTCTGTGAATTCTTCTCATCACCAGTTCCTGTTTACAAGTACTTCTATGAAAAATAAGAACTTCTCGTAATTTGTTTAAAGTAAAGAAATTTAAACGCCAGTTATTATGCTGATAAGTCATTGCCACTACTGGGAGCCATGAATTTCTCTAGCTGAAAAGGGAAAAAAAAGTCAACCAAGCTATAGTAATAACAATCAGAAAAGGCAAGAAATTATTTGGATTTATAAATGTATGGCTGCATATGGTATTTGGACTTCTGCTTATTCTGGAAAACAGCTTCTGAAGTGTGTTTCAGTTGCATTTTCTGCCAGTTACCTTTTTACAATTTTCAACTCAAAATCATTACATGCAGGTTAATCCCAAATAGCAAAATGGGAATGAAACGTGTACTCTGGTTTTTATGAGTGAAAGTCTGTGCGTCACTTTCTTCCACTGTTTTTGGTGTCACTTTCATATCATGAAAAAAAATGTAGTTAACAAGCCCTGCACGTGTTTCTCAGGACTCGGGGGGCTGGTTTCTTTCCCTGTTCCCATTTAAATAAGGAGCAGTAGAGCCTACTAAATTCGCCAAAGGCAGGTTTAGTACTCCCATAGCTCTGGGGTAGCTGGGGCTTCTGTCTTAGGCCAGTGCTGCTTCACGTTCACGCAGTTGTTTTGTTTCCTTTTCAATGCTGGGATCAAACTAGTGAAAAAATATGCGCTGTTGCTGGGAAGTCCCTTCAATAGCTCTGCATCATTTGCATGACAATGCACTGTCGTGCCCTGGTAACCTCCCTCTGCCAGCACATACCTTGGCAACAGGAAATGGTTCAACAATGTTCCCTGCACAAATGGGATGTCTGTGAATGTCCTTTTCTTGCTTCCCAAGGATTTCTAGGCATACTTGCAGTTGGATAAATGAACGTTTCCCTCTTTCCTCTTCACCCTCTTCTGCTTTTGGGATAAATTTTACTTCTGGTTAGGAATGAATGGTGGTTTCTTTCCTGTCACCACAGGATTTATTAAAGATGTTAACCAGCACAGATGCTGTAAGTGGAGCTGAATCAACATAAAAGGTTAATGGCATAGCACTATGTATGGGATATGATGATAAATGGTGGCATTGTCCTACAGGGCTTGGTCACTAGAGAAGTACTGGCAGTTAATTTCTGGAGGCTTGCTCAGTGCTTAGGACAAAAGGAAGAGACATACAGCCTGTAAGATCAACCTGTGAGCTTCAGATATACTGTGTGGCAGGTAATTACATTGGCTGTGCCTGAGGCAAGAGGTGTACCTACGTTAAAAGATCACCTGAGTTTTCTTAGTGAGTGCTGGTTTTACAGGCTAATACTTTATTCCCTTTGAGGCAGCTCACTCAAGACCCCTTTTCAGGTCAGAATTCTCCTTCTTCAGAGCCAGGAAGGGGCTTTCAAGTGCAGCTGTCAGGGATCAATCTCTTTTTCAGCTCCTTCAAATTCTTTATGATGCAGATGAATAATTTCTGTAGATCCTGAGCCCTGTGTTATACCAGAGTGGGAAGACTGTGGCTGGTGTTTTGAACTGTAGAAACTGTTGACTGACTGGGTGAAATAACCAGTGACAGGCTTTAAAAATTAATCAGGTTAAATGAACTTGGGAAGGATCCAAATCTCAGAGGATCAGTTCTGATGATAAAGGCATTTTAGATTTGCAAGAAAGGGGGTGGAAACATGTCTCAGTATAATATATGTTAGTGGACACTGGAGCAGACTAAAAGCTCTTGTGAAATATAGACTGTAAAAGAACTAGTTTCAATGGGAGATGTTTTGTGGTTTTTTTAACAATGGAAAAACTGTAACATCTTTTCTTTAAAATGAAGTCTACCCCATCTTGCTCAGCTCTGATGGTGTTGGCAGACTAGGACTATAACATGACTTGGGGCAATCCCAAACACACATCCAGGCTGGGTGATGAGTGGATTGAGAGCAGCCCTGTGGAGAAGGATTTGGGATTATTACTGCCTGTGAGCCAGCTATGTGCACTCGCAGCCCACAACCCACCCATGCCCTGGGCTGCAGCCAGAGCAGGGGGGGCAGCAGGGCCAGGGAGGGGATTCTCCCCCTCTGCTCCCCTCTGGGGAGACCCCCCTGCAGTGCTGGGGCCAGCTTGGGGGCCCCCAACAGCAGAAGGACACGGAGGGGCCAGAGGAGGCCACGAAGATGCTGGGGGGGCTGGAGCAGCTCCCCTGGGAGGCCAGGCTGAGAGAGTTGGGGGGGCTCAGCCTGGAGAAGAGAAGGCTCCGGGGAGACCTTCGAGTGGCCTCCCAGGGCTTAAAGGGGGGACAGGAAAGGTGGGGAGGGACTCTGGATCGGGGGGGTGTGGGGATAGGATGAGGGGTAACAGTTTTAAACTGAAAGAGGGTAGATTTAGGTTAGATCTAAGGAACAAATTCTTGCCTGTGCAGGGGGTGAGGTGCTGGCCCAGGGTGCCCAGAGCAGCTGTGGCTGCCCCCTCCCTGGAAGGGTTCAAGGCCAGGTTGGACGGGGCTGGGAGCACCCTGGGCTGGGGGAAGGTTGGGTTGGGGACTAGGTGATCTTTAAGGTCCCTTCCAACCCAAACCATTCTATGATAAATTTTTAGAAACTGTTGATACAGTAAGAACTATATTTTCTATTGGGTATTCCATTTACAGCTCATGCAACAGGTACCTCCTTAGGCTTCACTCAGTAGTCATTCCCAGTAACTTTCTTCAGCAGTGGAATCAGATCAGAATTCTCTTTTGTTGTAGTATTCTGCAAATAAGCCACACTGTATCTGGAAAGCAATACAAAAATAATATTTAAAAATAGTATTTCACTAGTTCTAATCAAGCTAGGATCTCAAAACCGTATATGATTAACAAATAAAGCCCCTACTAATAAATAATGGTCCTGTGATGTGCAGGGCAATGACTCAGTGTTTCAGTGGCTCCAGATTCCCAGTGCTGTTATTGCACTTGAGTGTTGTGTAACGACCAGGAGTAGAGAGTTGCTGGAGAAAGTGTTGCGTTTTGGGGAATTCACCAAATGTGAGTGTTTCAACTGATGTTGAAGAGCACCGTTTCACTGATGTCTAGCTCTTATATAGTACTTTTGACCCATAAATCTCAGTGGTTTGTGTGAGAGCAGGGTAGGCTATACCCCACCTTTTCCAGGGATGCAGAGGCATAAAGCAGTGAAAGAGCTTGCCTGGGGCAGCAGGAGAGCTAGGCATGGAGCTCTGATGTCCTAAACCCGACTCGTGTCCTACCTGTGGGCCTGTAATACAGTTACACTTTAACCAAAGATGGATGTTTATATGTAAATGGCCTATGTGGGGAGCGGCGTGGAGCTGAGCATGGAGGCAGTGCACAGGGGTGTTTGGGGACACAGGCTATGACGCTTACTGTGGGCACAGAATACTGTGGTGTGACCCTTGGTGGGCAGCAGCAGGCAGTTAGGATAATCCCTTTTTGCGCTCGTATGTGCAAGATTGAGAGCGGAGGGAACAATTCCCCAACCTCTTCCTGCCTACAGCGGGGAGTGGACTGGGCCTGCCTGCCTTCCTTCCTTGATAGAGCACCGGGGAAACGGAGCCAGACAAGCGGATTGTGATGTGGTCTCTTACTGTTGTCTTTCTGTGTATGGCAACTTTGGATATAGCAAAGGAGGATAGAAAAGGTTAGAAGCTTGGCCATGTTGCACAGTTGAGACATTGTCACTTCTCACTTTTGAAACGTCTTGACTTACCAGTTCTGTGATAAAATACTGCACAACATTCCCCTTGATTTAACTGCCTGACATACAGAATTCCCCTTAAAGCATAGGTGAAGCTTATGCTTTGGTGATCTCTAGAAATTGTGCCTTCCCCTCTTAGCAAACATCTGTACCTTCTGCAGCTGTGTAATAAAATTCTGAGGGTCATAAATTGGTCTAGTCAGAAATTCTATTTCAGATAAGGATCCTTGTCAGCCTTGCTTCTAGTCTGATCCAAAGATCAAACTAATAGGGTCAAGTCTGAGCAGTTTAATAAAACAATGTTATTTAAGTAAAGCAATCACATCCTGCAGCAGCATTGTTTTTTATTAAACAGCAATTAGATCTGTCTGCCCAACAAAATTGAAAAGCTCGTCTAAAAGCGACTGTAATCGGAAATGTCATACTGCAGATAACGATGATAGATATGGTTTAACAAAACACAGGCTTTGGCTTCAGTTCATCACAATGATGGATAATCCCATGGCATACAGCAGTTTAGTACTGTATATGTAGCTTGCAGTTTAGGTTGAGAGTATTCCTTTCACTGTTGCACACATACTGGTATTTTTCTTTTTCAGTCTCGCGTACCACATGATCAACAACCATGTTAAACTGGAATGTTTTGCCCATGTCACTTTGTAGCGAAGGTCAAGTGAAATGGTATTTGGGAATATGAACCTGAGGTTTACCCAACAGTACCTGCTAACAGCACACATTCTGAACTCCAGTCTGAGCTTTTTGGCAGTGGCACACTCTGTGAGCACAAGAAACTAAGCAGCAGTTTCAGAAAATGGCAGTGGTGGTGGTGAGTCATGCAAGAGTCAACACTGACAGTAAAGCAGATGTGCTGAAGCGCTCATTTAGGGGGGTTTGCACAGGCTTTAGAGGTATGTGCCTGGATTTGGTTCATCTGCCAGCATGGGAACTTCCACAAAGCTCCCTCTCCTGGATTTATGCAAATGTACAAGAATCTTAGCTTAAAAAAAAAAAGGCAAAAACCAAAACAAACCTCAGAA